GATATACCCAAACAGCTAACTAGAAAGGTAGACAAGTTCTATAATTAGAAAAGGCGATTCAGCATCATCATATACAAAACCATGGGAAGCTTATGTACTCCCCACAAAGCATTGTCCGATTTCTGGTTTATGGCAGAAGGAACCATTACTATGGTTGCGCCTACCTGTATTACCAGCCTAAATATTTTAAACCCTTATTTTAAAGCATTAGCCTACATGATACAGAAATGCCATATAGATTCTAAGAAGTATTTTAGGAGAAAATCAAGTATGATACATATCTCCTACTCTAAGCAACAGTTTAATTGGTTGATTCAGAACAATAAGTCATAGTCCATGGATTGCCTTTGCTCAATTTTCAGGAAGAATTGATAATCAATTTCTAGCTCATGGACTGTTACAATTTGCACTATGCATCCTTTTGTATTTCCAAAATTGTAAAAAGCAGTCCTTTAAAAATATACTATGTTAATTTTTTACCAATGGTTCTATTGGGAGAGTCACTTACATAGGTTATTAATAGAAATAAATAGATAGAGCAGACAGCTCTGACTTCAGCCCAAATAATCAAATTACGAGCTGTTGCAACGGCTTTTCAGATCCTGGTAAATAATCTGTTTAAATTTACATATTAACAGTCACTATGTATTAAAGGATCTTATGGTAATAGAGACAATTCCATACATAGGATCCAATATTAGATTGATTTAAGCAAATTCAAAATATTATTCACCAAAGAATTATCATGTTTATGGGTCACACGGGGGAACCTATTAAATAGGCCTTTCCTTAATTACTGGCCAAATGAAATGAATTAACTGATTAGCAAAATTGGTTGATTTGCCTCAAATAGAAAAAGCTCGACAGGCTTGTAACTTTTCTTCATCATAATAGCAAGTCTAAGTAAGAAATTTGGCTTAACCAGAGAGACTGTTGGTCAAATCATCAAACAATGTGGAATATGTCCACAATATGGCTATGGCTAATTAAGGGTGAATCCTCAAGGCCTGCTCCCCAACCATTTATGGAGAATGGATGTGACTCACATTACAGAGTTTGGCAAGTTAAAAATGTGCCACTCCACAAACAGGAGAAGCCACCAGGCATGTTTTAAGTCACTGTTTAAGATGTTTTGCTTATATGGGAGTGTCAAAAGTTATAAAAACAGATAATGGGTCTGGATATACTAGCAAAGCTTTCCAGCAATTTTGTGCTTAATTCCTGAGACCAGTGCTACCGGAACAGCCCGTGTGGCCTAGTCCCGCCCAGTGTGCGAGGACCTGCTTGCTGAGCCCGTAGCAGCGGGCACGGCTGGGCCTTTGGGCCTTTGGGGACACAGCATGCTGCTGACTTGGGGGAGTGAAATGCCTGCCTCCAAGCTTCTGTAGCAGCAGTGAGACATGAGGCGAGCCCACAGCTCGGGCAGCGGCGGGGGCTGGCGCGGCGGCGG